ACACACACACACACACACACACACATACAAGTGTATCCTAGGTCAACTTTATCTGAAAGATGCAGTTATACATTTGGTGTCTTTATAAATTGCTCATTCCACTCCTCTTAGAAACTCCCAGGGCAGGGACTGGATCTTCTACATTTTTCGTATCTCCAATGCCTAGTACTGGGCCTGGTTCAATGAATGCTCATTGAAATGAGCTTCTCTAGGACCTTCCAGCAGCACAGTACACCAAATCAATGATCACCTAGTTGTATAATACATACCACCTAGGAATAATAATCATACCACCTTACTGCCATGGAGCACTGTACATTTTAAGAAATAATTTTTCAAATCCACATCTCCTTTGACATTCATAAAAATCCCTGTAGGGTAATCAGGGCAAGTATTTGTAACCCCACAATGGAGAAAAGGAAACTGAAACAGAAACCAGTTAAAGAGGTTTACAAAAGTTTACACAGTCCCTGCCTCCGTAATACCAGGTCTGTTGTCTTGACTCCTCAAGATCAAACATCCAACAAGAGCAAAAAGGGAAGCTGCCCCCCACCCAGGCGCTCCCTCCCTCAGGTCACAGAAGGAGCGTGCTTCTGTTCCGAGCGTGCTTCTGCACTCAGACCCAGCGCTGGGCAAGGAAGGCAGGACGCGTAGGAATAGCCTGCCAGATCATTCAGATTCAACTCACCGCGGCTGACACCTAGGCTTTCTGTCCTGTGTCATCTTGTTAACTGGGCAGTTTTGCTGCCGTGTGGTTCCAGAGCTCCAGCCCAGAAGATTGTTCAGGGTCTGAGGCTGCTGAGCTCCACCAGCACTTGGCAAGCTTAATATAGCTCCCCAAAGCCAAACGTGGCCTTGGCCTCTGCACACAGCCCAGTTGGCCAGGACCAGAACTCTCAGCTGACCTTTCAACCCCAATCCCTCTGTACAGACATATGGTCCAGGAATAGCGGCCCTGCCACTCACGCGGCTATGAAGATGAATTTACTGGCCAGATTTGGCTCAGTCAGACTCAAGTGCGGTTGCTAAAAGCAGCCTCGGAGGGCTCAGAGGGACAGTGCCTTGCCTGCTCTCTACACGTCTATGAAGATGAATTTACTGGCCAGATTTGGCTCAGTCAGACTCAAGTGCGGTTGCTAAAAGGAGCCTCGGAGGGCTCAGAGGGACAGTGCCTTGCCTGCTCTCTACACGCAGCCTCTCCACTCTCTCACCTCATCCTGGATTTTTTTTTATAGATATAATAATTGCTATTTGAAACTATCTTGCTTATTCCTTAGGTTTTTGTGTATCTTGCCTGCTTCAGTGTACTTGCCGAGAGTAAAGACTTTCGCCACATTCTTCAGTGCTTATCCCCAAAACCCAGGACAGTGCCAAATACCACCAGATGGACAGTAGGTCCTCGTAGGCAGTTGCTTGAATGAATGTCAATGCCCTTTGCAAAGCTGTACTTTCATCCCAGAACTGCCGTGTATCTCTCTGCCTCTAGTTACTGGCTCTACTAGCCTTCCTGGAATCTGTTCAGAGGAAAGAAGGTAAATAAACAAACCTCACCTGAATTCTGAAGGGTAGGGGTCACCAGCTCTACAGATTACAGTGGGCGGGAGCGGCATAATAAACACATGTATGTCCCCACGGTTGCCAGGCCCACTCCTCCAAGCATTCTTACACTCTCACTGGGGTCAAGGGACATGTGACTGGGCAGTTCATAGGTCTCTCTGCTTCCTTCGGGTTCTGTCCCTACATCTACACCAGCACATGCCACACCTCACTGTGGCCACCTCCCCCACAAGATCTTTTGGAAGCTCTGATTATTCATCCTTTAATCCCTGGCAGCCAACGGGAAGATCTTGGAGTCCCTGTTTAAGTCAGCATATATCACAGCATTAGACAAATG